TTGGTCCTACTATCATATCCATGACAGCTACAATGTTGTTCGCCGAGGATTCTGAGGCGTGTGCTGTGTTTCGCGCAGCGGCCGAGAGATGTACTATTCCTGTCCGGTCTCATCGACAATCCATGCGTCCGTTCACGGTCCTGTGAAAATTTGCCTAGGGGGAGGTGTTTTGGCCTTCAAGCACGAAGATCACATCAGTTTTTCACGGGACCACCGACCACCTGGTGTGTGAGCTCCAGACACCGCGCCAAAACAGCTTAAGTCACCTATCGACGGAACCTTGTCGTGAGGGATAGTGTAACTCTCTGGAAGTAAATATTAGGTTGTCCGGAAAGCTCTCAGCGTTCTGTGTCACCATTTTTTTGTTGTACATTCATTGTTCATTCTCTTCAGAAGTGCATCCTGTAGAGAATTTTTTGCGCTATCTGATGGTATAATTGCCGTTTCACCATTGCTTGATTGACCCTCTTTTTTCGAGAGTTTTTCAAGCATGTCAAAAGAGCAACTTCGGACGAGAGGAACTTCGGGCGTGCGACAATAGTTCGACGAATTGCGTTCTGGTGATTTCAGCCTTGAAGATGAACCTCGTAGCGGTCGACCTAAAGCAATACCTGACGAGGATTTGAAGGCGTTTGTGGAGGCTGACCCATCCCAAACAGAGATTGCAGAAAAGCTAGGCGTTGGCAAATCCACTGTTGCGGATGGTCTGAAACGCATTGGGAAGGTGAAAAAACTCGACAAGTGGGTGCCCCACAATTTGAGTGACCGGCAGAAATTGGCACGTCTCGAGGTTTCTTCTTCACTGCTTTTGCGCAACAGAAGGTTCGTTTTTGGATCGAATTGTCACCTGTGATGAAAAGTGGATCATGTATGATAACAGGAGACGTTCCGGACAGTGGTTGATGCCGACGAACCACCGAGGCAATTTCCAAAGCCGAATCCTCACGAAAAAAAGAAGATTATGGCCACAGTTTGGTGGTCATCGGCTGATGTGATCCACTATAACTTTTTGTCACCAGGATAAACCATCACAGAGGTCCAAAGCTGTAAAGTAAATCGACGAAATATACCGAAATATGCGTCCCTCGCAGCCAGCACTTGTCACAGAAAGGCCCGATTCATTTGGCATGACAGTCATAGGGGAGTTGAAAGTTCTACCTCACCCACCATATTCTCCAGACCTTTCACCAACCGACTATCACCTTTTCAAACATTTTCAGAACTTCCTTGCTGGAAAATACTTCATCAATCAGGACCAGGCAAAAAAGCCTTCGTGGATTCTCGACCACCCAGTTTTTTCTTTGATGGGATTTCTCGACTGCTGTCACATGGCAAAAGTGTGCTGATTCGAATGGTGCCTTATTTCGATTAAATCCGATGAGTATTAAGAAAGTTATGATCGTTTAAAGTGAAACACCCAAAACGCTGAGAACTTTCCGGACAACCTAATATCACGTGCTCTCAGTTGCCAAGGCGGTCACCCCCATAATCCGCCTGAAATCCCCCCACAGGGGAACCCGTGCTGAACCGTTCGTGCACAAGGGGAAGGAATGCTGTGGTCGGGCGAGTTCTCACTTCTTGGTGTCAGCTCTTTCTCCTTAGCACCTCATTGTCACTGTACTATACGGACAGAGCTAATAAGGGAACAAACGCACCACGAGGGAGCTCTGAAAGTTGGGCGTTGCGGTGGCCAGTGGGCAGAGCGCTGACTGTGTGGCGAGAGGATCGCGCTTTCTCACGTATTTCTGAGTTGCCAAAGTTCTGCACGCTCCAAGCATGTGGCTAGGACCACCATGACCTAGGAAGCCACTTAAACATAAAGTGGACGCAGAACGTGCCTTCAAGGATATGGGAGTGGTTTGAGGCATACGCAGCCGCGACCTTTCCCGCTCTGAACCCTTCCTAGAAAACGGTGATTCCTTCTGTTAAGGCTACTTAGAAGGGAAACATCGGTGAGAAAGGCGTTGCCTGCTACTATGTAAATGTGATAATAAGCGGGGATCGCCAGTTCGGTCACAGATCAGGAAAAATAATGTAGGTACAATTCCCTAAAACAGAGAAGAGTTCGCTGTGTGAAAGGAAAGAGGACTGAAGTTTCTCTTCAATAGGATCAGCTTCATCGAATTCACCGTGATGTGCGCTATAGTGTAGCCCCCCCCCCAATTGGTCTCATAATAATTACATTCGCTTTTCTCTTAGTACAGTGTGATACAGAAGAGTAAAATTAAGCATTTATTGTACCAATTGGTCCTGCTTGAATTACATATGAAAAACTCGTATCATCTTGATATCAAATTATCACAGATTTGTTTGAGTTCAAGAAGATTCACAGTTATTATCAAATATGAGCGCACTGTGTTCGTAGCCATTCTAGCTCAGCTGTTTTACCTGAGCTTTCCAAGAACTCTCCTACTGTACTGAGCACTCGATCGTGGTAAGCATTCACCCATTCAACCTAAAAACACATGAGAAGACAAAAAGCAGAGTTGTATGAAAAATAACATACCTCTTCAGCAGTGAGCATTGACTTATCAATGATGCTCGTTTGTATTGGAACGAGTGTCAGAGCACGGAAACCAAGAAAATCTGCACCAGATGGGACATCTGCCTTCACCACCTCAAAAGGATAAGAGTAAAGCTTTCATCATCGATCAATAAACTTTGGGGAAGCTCCATGCCTTCTACTTGAAGACAAGTCGCGATTGACTCGGTGGGTAGTGGTGTGAAGTTGTGAAAATGTAGTCGCTTATCGACTTTTCAGCAAAGCAAAAAACACGGGGAATCTATTATGAATCCTAAATAAGAACCCCACGGCAGTCACACAGCCTCAACGTACAGGCTTGCCGGACCATTCCACGACGCTGCGAGCAGCAGTAGCATGGTAAATCATGGTGCAGGTAGTCACGCTGGCAGAAACGGCTCTTCCGGACCCGTGCAAGTCACGCATATCTGGAGCCTTTATCTCCCAGTTTTGAGAAACAGAAAAGGCACTTAGTACACGTTGGAAAGTAGCAAAAATGCAGGGTGCCTCTCCCCCTCCCTCCGTCGCCGGATTTCGTACTGTAGTTGGCACGATGATTTGGTGCTCGGCCTAAAATGCTAGTAGGGCGCTATATAGTGGGGAAATGGCGAAAGAACGGAGTGAAACGGTCAAAATCCTGCGAAGAAAGAGCCTCCGTTCTCAATGTGTTAGAAATCAATTTTGGACGAGTTTCCTGTAGGCATCTTGCCAATAACCGCTACCGAAGGTACGGCTGCATATGTGTACCCATATATGCATGCAGCATCACGGCCGCTTCATACCAATCCCTTCGCTTCATAATTTGCTTAGCAAATGAATCGATTAGAGCGTCAGGAACGGTCGTCCATTTGTGGGCGGGCGGGCGTGGCGGGCGTTTGGGTCGTAATGTTGTGGCTTGATAGGGCCCTTATAAGGGCACCTCCCTTGGAAAGGCATTATGCAGCGCCTGCTCAGGGTCGCGGAATTCCGTCCTGCCAGGCGTATTAATCCTACTCGTCTTAGGGGATTTATCGTGCCAACTGCCTTTAACACATTCCGGACAGCAAGACACGCATGGTGAGTCATGCATTTGTCTCCATATGGTGTTATCCTTGATGACTTTGAATTTTCTATACTGTTCTAATGTTGTCAAAAGTGTTCGTTTATAGACATACCCTCACTAATAAGTAACTGGGAAGGGGAAAGAAATTACTGATGAATTATTCAGCAGAAATGATGAAGTGACAGGGATATGCGCGCAGTACAGTGGTCTGCAGTGTGGTAAATCCGTCTGGCTTAACAAGCTACCCATTAATGTTATTCAACAAGAGAATACGTCACGTTTCAAAAAAGGCCCTTATGAAAATAGATTTGATGAAATTACTGGATGTTAGCGACTTTTAGCGAGAGTGCCACTTTAGCGTAGTTACTGGATTCACCTAGTGGGCTCAACTTGACAGAATCGAAAAAAATTATAGTTTTCTTTGCACTGCTTTGCCTCCACATGTTTGCCTCCATGTTCGTTGATTTCGGTTTTTGCTTTTAATTGCATGAGCGGTTTTTCTGCCTAAGTTCTCTCTTCTATCATCTCTTACCCATATCCCCACACCTTGGTCCACAGCGCACCTGCTTATGATGTTGCCATTGTTTCTGCCTTGGGGGATCGTCTCGGAGAACTTGTTCGTGTGCCTTGCCTTAGGCACTAAATGGCGCTCACGCTTATTATTACTTACTATAAGAGGAAGGATCAACAAGTGACCTGGTTTCATCTAGGTTCACTTGGGCCAGGGTCTTACGCCTGAGGTTCGTATTTAGATCAAAGAGGTATCTACTTGGGCCCGCCTCGGAATAGCCCTGGCTAGTTGCGTTGCTCAGGCTGATCCTTCTTCTTATATATCTAAACTAATCCCACAGCGTTGCTTATGGAGAAATGTTGTCATTCTATATTATAAAGGCATACGCTTACAGTTCATTAGTTATGAACTCGCTAGTTATGTATAGCCTTTCTCTTCCTCTGACGCAGGACCACATGGCTCATCAAGTTCACCTTATTGTAGTGCTGAGGTGTAGTGTGGGGAAGAGGTTTTTAATGCATGACCGGTTTGTTGCCTAAGTTCTACTTGGCTTGTATGACCTCCTTTTATTGCTTCCCTCCTCATTTAGTTGGTATATTTAACGGTTTATGTTTTCTTTTGTTTCGGTTGGATTTGCCTTTGATTCGTTTTTTTTTGCTGTCGATGGTGCACGTAAGTGCTAGTAAACAAATAAACAAATATACCTGGCCTTCAATGACTCAGGTTTGGCTGACGCATGAATCGAAATTTCTACTCTCTCAGATAAACCTGTGCCAACGAAACAACTCCGAGAGGATGGAAGGTTTTGCTGATCCGGGCGCGAGTCGGTCTGACATTTGGTTACCGGACCGTACGCGTGGCATTCAGACCCGCTTGCCACTACATCGTCACTTTCTTTACCATTTTCAAGACACAATCCCGATGCTGCGAGCCCTACTGTAGTAATAATCAAAACAACTCACCTCATAGCAGTTTTCTATTCGGATACCCCATTTCCCTTCGAGGTAGTACCCAGGCTCTATCGTCAATATCATGCCTTCTCGAATCCACGCGTCACTACCATAGCATGCTGTTCGATGGCCAATTGAGGCTGCAGAAAATTTAGATGATTATCAAGCGGGTTTTGAAACTGTTACAAACTGACTCACTGAAGCCGAAAATACCTACCGGGTCCCTCGTGTACGTTAAGGAAATGTCCCACTCCGTGACCAGTACCATGACCGAAATCTAATCCAACCTGCCACATTGCATGCCGTGACAAAGTGTCTAACCGAATACCTGAAGTTTATTGACTTTAGCATTCACAGACTGACTCTCTATGAGAGCGTAAAAAAGCACCTTTAAAAAACAAACGAAATAGTAAAGGAGGGTACCTATGAGCGCTTGTGGGAAGACGGTGTTTGCCAAATTGATGTGTCCTTTTAGAACAAGCGTATTATGTTGAATAAATTCTTCAGGTACCGGTGATTTCGATGAGATCCAAACGGTGCGAGTGACATCAGTTGTACCGTCCCTGTAAAAATTAAACAATGAACAGCATCCGCCTTCTCTTGCGTAAAAAGTATGCTACTTTTGACGTTTCCCATTGTACCGACGACGTTGTTATACGGAACACTCATTAACCACCCGACGATTCGACTAGCAGTTTATCGGAGGCCCTGCCCAACACCGTGGAAACGGAAGTCGCTAGACCCGACTGACGAGTGAGCCCGCCACCGATTGACTCGTTCTCCCAATGTCGATTAGTGACTAGTTTAGGAAGAAAACAATCGGTGCTGAATTGCGGGTTAGTTCATTCCGTCCCTCTTGAGGCCGCTGCAGATGACTGCGTTAATTCCAACTGTAACATATATGTGAGCATAATTAAATTACCTATAATGTGCACCGGAATCCAACAGATAGACCTGGTCAGCGGTGACCAGTCGTTCGCCTTCTTCTCCATCAGGATGATAGTGAGGTTTTGCTGCATGGTCACCAGCAGCAGAAATAGTCGAGAAACTAAAAATCCGCAATTTAATTTCCGGGGAGACGAACTTCCAGTGAATTGGAACTTTGTTTGATAAATTCACCGAATTGAAACCTATCCTTTATGAACTTGAAGCTTATTTTGGAAACCCTGCTAGTGATCTCTCCGTATGAACCAGGCTTTCAAGTAGCAAACATCGTAAAGTGAATGCCACCAGCCGTATACCTAATAGTCACTCTAGTTCCCAGGCAAAAAGGCTTTTCGATGTATCAAATAGGTACTCTCACCTATGTTGTATAACTACAGATAAAAATTCTCATGAATATTTTGACCCAACGCGAAGCAACTAAAGATGAGCTGTCGCAGTATGAGCGACGAAGTGAAGGTAAAACTTTGAGTATCGTTAGGCCGGGATCACACACGGGCAGTGGAAGCTGAAAAGAGACATTCGCTCGTAGATTACATCATGAAAGATGACTTCGCTGACAAGGTACGTGGGAGGCCCATGGTAGAATGTACATGAAATGTTCCGTGAAAGAGAAACAAATAGTCCAGTTGAGTCCAAGTTCTCGACAGAGTGATGCCATCCGCCATAGACGCCAAACTCAAGGCCTCGAGAAACACCATCAGCCTGAGGCTGCTAGTTCCACGGCTGAGCCACTTGCGTGCAGCTTCCCAGAGTGTTGCTATAGTGGTGGAACACGGTAGTTTTCTCAAGAATGCTGAGTTATGGGCAAAAGTCGAACCCGCACCTCACGCTTTCGGGCGAGTGCGCTATCCGTTACGCCACCAGGGCCGCTTTTACCCTCTCAGCTTAACGGCTTTTATGCCGTAGCCTTACAGCACTCACACGTTTAACTTGGTGAGCCGGTCAGCCGTAATCGTTAGATATCGGCAATGAACCGCTAGGCCGAAGGCTTTGTAATTTTTTTGAAGAAGTTTTGTTATGATGTTAAACAATGTCACCATGTTAAACGTGTGAGTGCTGTAAGGCTACGGCATAAAAGCCGTTAAGCTGAGAGGGTAAAAGCGGCCCTGGTGGCGTAACGGATAGCGCACTCGCCCGGAAAGCGTGAGGTGCGGGTTCGACTCCCGCCTGGGGCACGACTTTTGCCCACAACTCAGCATTCTTGTGATAACTTTCGGAACGCGAACTGCGGCGTAAAAAACAGCAGTTATCATAACGAAACACAGTAGCCTTCCAACCCTTCGGACAATGTCGCTTGACTCACATTCTCATGGTTTGACCTTACTAAACGCTGGGAACCCCTGATCCGATGCACGTCGGTAGGATGGATCCAGAAGACAGATGGATTGAAACCAGTGTCCGCTGAAATTGTCCAGAGTATTCATTTATCACGTCACAGCATGCGAAAATGTTTCTTAGGTGTACTCCAGGGGCAAAGTGTTTTGTGCCTCAACTCTCTGCAGACTGGTCTATGAGCTCGTCTGCCTGTTGTGTCTGTTGAAAGAAGTTTCCGCAGTTTGGCTGGAAGAAGCAGCGTCAGGTAGGCAGTACTGAATGAATGAGGTCAAAGCCCGTAAATGTCTAAATCTAACATGAGACGACGTTCGGACTTCGCAATGACGCGCGTCGACGCGCTGTGACACACTATAATTCATGTAGACGCCTTACTATTGCAAAAGCCTGAAGCAAGTTCAAATCCAACGGAAGCGAACGCAGCCGCATGGAAATCGATCAGCGCCGGCTGCTTCTGTTCTGTGGGAGTATAAGACGATGGGAGGGCAGGCACCACTTTCACAGAAATTGCTACTCTCCTGTTCTTTAATCCAGACTGCGCAATGAGGCAACGAGCACCCTCCTGTTCCCCTGCTCACTCAAAACAAGCGGCTAGCGCCGACCGATTCCCGTCTACGGGTGGGTTCGCGTCTACAGACACGGGACGCTGTTGCAATTGCAGCGCGTTCAGCGCACCGACGCGCGTCGCCGCGAAGTCTGAACGCTGCCTAGGGCAAACGTTCCCACAGACGCTTCTTCGACTTCTGTCCACTTGCTTTTGTACAGGACGATGGGAGATATCGTACGACTCTTATGACGGCATGGTTTCAACTTCAAGACGTCCTGGTTCATCGCGAAGATAACGAGGCGAAGTCAAACGTCTAGCGTTGATGATCAACAATCACAGCTTTGAGGGGACCGCAGAGCATAGACTCAGGGAAAAAAACATAAATAAAATATTGTAAATTACCTCAGATCAACATATTTGTCCATAGCAGCTCTCACCGAGTCAACCTTCGAAGCCAACTGAATCTCGCTATAGGATCGCCCTTCAAGTAACTCGGACTCCAACCACATCAGAAAGCTTATCAATGCAGCACTATCGCGAATCTGAAAGCGAGCTAATTAACTTCCTTGAGAGAACAAATGAAGTTCATTGAAAACTCACGTGGCATTTCCGCATACCTCCCAGTTCCACAGCGTTTTTGACTCCTTTCATAACTTGCACGGGACTGCCCTCAACCACTGCCGAAGGTGCGAAAATTTCGCCAAACAGGTAATTCGTGGTTGTTGGGACAAAAACCTGCAAAATCCAAAGCAAGTACTCTACAAAGAGTTGTCGGGTTGCCTTTCTTACCCTGGGCCTTTGGTTTGCTTCAGCATTCTCTTCATACCAAGTTTTCATGAAATCGTAGGCACGAGCATATGGGTGCAGCACCACGTCTTCCGATTCGAGATACTGACGCATCTGAAATTTCGTAAGGTAAAAAGCTGGCTAGAACAACTAAATACTTTTTTTGCTTTGTAAGCTCTGGATATTAACATTCTTTTCCTACGCCCAAAGCCATACTTCGCTGGCTTCACCGCTGCCATGAAAACAGTGTATTAGCCCGTGCATTTGCCGCAGTAGGTTGATCGAAAAGTTCTACACTTCGAACAAACTATAGTAGAAGAATTGGCACTATTGAACTATTCCTACCCCGAAAACTCAAAAAAATTTTTCTGGGTTGCCTATAGATGTAATTCGATGCGCTGATCACGAATATCACATCCGTTTCGAGCGCTGGCGTCATTTGGCGCCATTATGCGCCAATTTGGCGCCCACCACTTTTTTCACCAAAGTTGATGAAAACTTGCATTAATCGACATCCTGATCACGAACATCACTTTGGTTTCAAAGGCGCCATTCGGCGCCATTATGCGCCAATATGGCGCATAATGGCGCCGAATGGCCCCAGCGTTTGAAACCAAATGGCGCCAACGCCAAAAATGAAATGTTGGATTCGTAATCAGGACCTCAATAACCCCCATATGCAAGTTTTCATCGACTTTGGTGAAAAAAGTGGTGGGCGCCAAATTGGCGCATAATGGCGCCAATGACGCCAGCGCTCGAAACGAATGTGATATTCGTGATCAGGACATCGAATTACACCTATAGGCAACGTTTCAGCGAAAAATTTTTTTTCAGTTTTTGGGGTAGGAATAGTTCAATAGTGCCGAAGAAATCAATACACCTTGTGGCCATGGCTCAACAGTCATGCAGCCGAACGCCACTACCTCTAAACTGGCAGCAACTTTAGGCTGCACCCGCATGAGAACTAACAAGCCAGAGATCAAGGTGTGAAATGGCGGTGTTAGCAGGAGCCGTAAAAAGAGGGTCTCTGTACGATCCCCGCTCAAACCTGCGGCTGGGAGCCTTGACACGTTCGCCTGCTACCCAGTTATCTTCCCAGTTAAGTTCTTCCCCGTGGTGATAGGCATCTCTTACCAACAATCGGAAATGGTAGTCTTGGCGCCTCATGACTTACGGGGAGGGAGGGGACAGTTAAGTCCTTTCGCTTGTCGGAGACATTTAACGCGTTAGATTCCACAGGAATAGCGCCAGTGAGAGAAGATGAGCGGTCTCCGTAGACAGCTCGTTTCTTCTTCGCACATAGGGTTTTTTTTGTTAACCTTGTAGCTGGGGCGAGATGTAAGAACCCTAATGCATGAGCTCTTTAGAATTCATTAAGGAGAGACAAAACCGGATCTGCACAGAGAAACAATTTCAGTGTTTTTTCCATAATTCTGAAAAAGGGGCTGTTTGATACCGGTATAGCTGCAACTGCTAGGATATCCACCATCTTCTCCTTCTGCATTCGCTGCTATACCGGTATCAAGCAGCCCTTTTTAGACTTATGGACAAAACACAGAAATTTTCTCTGTGCAGAACTGATTTTGTCTCGGCTTTTCTCCTTAAGGCATTCACAAGAGCTCACGCATACGGTTCACATAAGGTACCACCCTCTCGCCCCAGCTACAGTGTTAACCAAAAGAGACCCTATGTGCGAAGAAGAAACGAATTGTCCACGGAGGCCGTTTACCTTCCCTCACTGTCGCTATACATGAGGAATAAATCGTGTTAATGGACCTCTATCGTCACGAGGAAATGAAGGAACTCAGCGTTATTGTCGGACTCAAAAAGACGCACACTGTTCGCGTAAGTCTCAGCTGCTGCGTGAATACGTTCTAGGTAAGGGGGTGACTGTCACTGTCGTGCAGATTCCTAGAAACTTGAACCCTGGGTAGTAGAGGACATGAAAGAACTGCTGATTATTCGTTTTTCAAAACTCAGTCCTTCGAGTCGTTCTTCAGTCACACTGGAATCCTACCCAAGTCGGTTCGACAAATCCTGAATACATGGTCTTGTTTTCTGCGGACGCCTGCCAGGTTGCCTAGACTTGGCGCAACACCAGTCCTTCTCTACCAACTGTTGAAGTGAGCGAATGGCAACAATTGGTAAAGAATAGGATGGCCAGCATCCGCAAGACAAGAATACTGTACAGGGATTGGTAGCAGTGTCTAATGCAGATATGAACGCTCATTTATCCTGTCAGAACTGGTAGGGGTATTCTCCTCTCCCAAAGTTACCACGAGAAGCGACTCTACCTGAGTGGGTATTGGAAAGATGTTCTGAATAGGTACATATAGGCGATTTTGAGGACTACTCGGGTTAAAGCTTATAGATCGAGGCATTGAAGTCACCCGGTCGCTGGGGTATAAGGCATATTTAGTATAAGGCGCAGTATAAGACGCTCACCTTTGTGTAGGGCGCACATTTGCCTCGAACTGGTGATTGTTTCTTTCTTGCTTTAATTTTGCGTGCTTTTCGCTTGTTATCATATTTTTAAAAGACCTACATCCGAAAGAAAATTTGAAAAATGTCTTAAAGACCAGAATATGCAAAAAGAGATGGTAAACTACTGCTGTGTCCAAAAACTTTGTCGCCTGTCTATCTGCAGCCATGCAAATAGATGCACCTTATACCCCTTTTCAGTAGTCTCTACTTACCTCCTAGGGTAATTAGAGACCAATAAAAGGCTCCATTCATTGTATAATCCTTTACCTCTTCATCAGCTTTATCCATAAATAGATGCACTTCTTTAGGTGTTACCAGTACATATGAATACGCCAACGGGTTGTATTTGAATGTCGAATCCTCTAATGTTGAGTAACCCTGAAAAAATGACAATCTCACGTATGCAATATCTTGTTTGAAGATCGTACAAATAGTAGCGGTACTTCTGATCACTGGAACAATTTTTGCCGGATGTTCAAAAGGAAATCAAGTCCTCCTCTCACACCCCCCCCCACCCCCCAATTAAAGCTATCTCTACTTACACATTATGTCATCGAGAGCGGAAAGAATAATAGAATCGCACTTCTTCTGCGTAATCCGTTTGCGCAAATCCATCAGCTTGTCATTTACACAACGCCCGTGTTCCTCTGGTGTCAGTACAATAGGCTAAACAAAACACATACAATGCTCACATAACAGAACATCACCATTCATCAGAAATAATACTCACACTTTCAGATTGAAGTGGAGGTCGATCATTCCAGAACTCGTCCACGAGGTTCCTTCCGATTGGCGCAACTTGGATTCCCATGCATTGCAGGGTTTTAATGAGCTTTTGACCGTTTTCTGAAATATACGGCAGCACTGAGTAGTGCGAGTTTCATGCGAGGCGCTAGCAAACCTGGAGGGGTGCTTTAAGGGACTCCTTGAGCTAAACTGGGATGGGGGTCAACCGCATAGAACTACTGGACTTGCAACTATTCACCTTCCCAAAGCCTTCCCCTCCTTAGGCTGAAGTCCTTGTATTCATTATGCTGATTCTAGTTTTGCGCAAGGAGTCCTCTGATGGAGGTGACTCTCCAAGGTCACAAGCGCCTCAAAGGCCTTCTGGCTAGAATGATGCCAAACAAAAAAAGTTGCTGTAAGTTCATGGTATGTACAGTTGATATCCTTGACGGGGCGGTGTCAGGAGGCGTGGAATCGACCCATCCGCGGCTGCGTTTTCCACCAATGTGGCCACGTTCAGAAAGAAAATAACCAATGGGCGGAATGCCGCGGACGGGCTCACTCTGCACCTCCTCATATAATTCCTCAGATCGAAACGATATCAAATGTACATGCACAGCTATAACTCAGTTTTCCACATCTGAAGTGTTGAAATGTGAAACACAAACGAAAATAACCATAGGTATGAAGTGAAGGATCGATTCCTATCCAATCGCCATCATTCAAATTTTCAGAAACAAAGTCCTCGACCGTGATAGAGTCACTTTGACCCTGTTTCAGAAGAGTGAAAGGCGGAATCAACTGCTCTGTAGCCTACAAAATGTTTATTATTAAGCGTAAAGACGACAAGTAGTGCCTGAAATTGCAGCGAAGATAGTGCAAAGGTTAGAACCAAAAAAAATTTGTACGGGCGTATGATCGAGATGAACTGCATTATTGTAAGAGCTTGCGTCAAAGGCAGTGGGCATGATGGCTGAGAGCGGGCGGTTACAATTCCATATACCCACGGCTGCTGCTTAATCCAGACCCTGTCTGGAAGACTATAAATGGAGATTCTAACTAATTCCGTAGAGTGGTCCTTCCACCGAAAAGTTTACGGCGACCCAAAGGCCTACGAAAATCGAGCGCACGTCACGTGCATGGCGCCCTTCGACCGATTCGAGTCTGTGTTCTCTATTCCTCATTGCTCTTACTAAATTATTAGTTTTCAAAGGCAGCGCCGGCGTTCATTTGATGTTTTCACGCCCTCTCTGGATATCATAGCCCTCCCTATAAGGATGCAGTATGTACTAGTTTTGCATCTCACAAAGGCGAGAGGATAGCGCCTATCGCTAGTAAAGAGTCGACCGCCCCGCCCACCTGGCGACCACGCCCAACTTCATTTCTAATGGTTGCCTGATGGTGCGGTTGTTCCATTGCTGCTTCTCTCCACGTCGAGTGGTGAGAGTGAGGTGATAAGGAAAAACAGCTGATATCAATAAACCAGCCGGCTTCGCCGGCTGACTCCGGCGCGTCTTTTTATGAGATACAGCACGGTTTCGCAGGGCGGATATTCGGCTTTTCTTCATAGTATTCGGCTTTTCTTTCATCTGAACGGATGATCAACATTATTTCACCAATAGCACCATACCTGCTATTTTCAACACTATTACGGTGCATGAAATGGTGGAAAGGAGCGTTGATCAAGTGGACAGATGAGAGAGAAAGAAAAAAAAGTCGCAGAAGGATATAACTTGATAACAACAAAGCATTGAAACCATACAGATGCAAGATGGGCGCGAGCGGAAGACACAACAACACAAGGCAAGGACGAGGCAATGATATCAACAAAGGAGTCTAAGAGCTGCTGGAGAATAGACTACTGAGAAACCGCCTAGAAAGAGAAATCTTAGCAACTGGCCACGACTTACTCCCTCAAACAGCCACGCTCCGCCACCAGCGATATGCCACTCAGCGAAACTTCCAATTAAATAAACCGCATTGATATGACGATAATAGAAACATACTTAATTTCACCATGATCTGAAAAGATAGTTTGGACATATATTTGCTAATCACTATATTACCGATTGGCTCCAGCCACCACACTCGGCTGCAAGCTCCCACAAGTTCCACAAATGGAGTAGAACACTCAACGATATAACATCCCTAAATTTAAAGAAATCACTATGGGAACCATAAATCACTTAATCCAATTCAGTAGATTATTAGAACACAAACAACAATAACCATATAATTTTAATTGCTGTTCACTCGTGCTCAAATACGCCAACCGACCCCGACCCACTGAATAAGAGGGAGGACCCTACAGCACGCACGACAAACAATGGTGAGATATCTTGCAAAGAAAAAAATTCTCTCTTACGTACATTGCGACTACATTCTGCAGCTTCTCTAAACAGTATTCAGAAGCGAACGAGCTTAATAAGACCTTATGTGGGAAGGGCAACCCGCCATATACTACAAAAGTACAGCCACACAACCCCCATTACGAGTGTACTCAATCCTCACATAATAGAGAAACATAAAGATGCCAAACACCAAGTGTTAAAACATATTTCACAATTAAATTCCGATAACTACCGAGTTTAGCTTCGTAGACCAGTTATGGTGATATTATTCTGTAGATAATAATTCTCTATTCATCAACGGGAAGCGCCCGCCACATCTCAACGATAACAGCCCGCCCTTAGGACAGGAAAATGACAACTGTCTCCTCTGTTTTGGATACAAGACAGGCCATATCTTTACCCGCACATGTAACTAGATATAAACGCCATCTCAGCAGGGACTACGGGGACCGAGTTATGCACATTTTTCAGTAACCATCAGACTAACTTTTTGGAACGACACAGACACCCGACCCCTGATAGGCGGGAATTAACATTGAGAGTCAAATGAGGATTGCTAATTTAGAGATTTATGTACAGCACGAACAACTATCAGTTCAAGCGATTGGGTACTGTAGGGCCTTTTCTGTTAATTCTTTTTGATTTTTTTCTTCACTCATTAGGGTACTCAGCCTACTTGTTTATTCATCATCTGAGCCGCATAACTACATCCAAATTTTTAATTGCGGGTCAGCTTTGACAAAGCTGCAAATGCAGTTGCTTCACTTCATTGAGGGGGGGGGGACGATAGTTGGGGCAGGCGGTACTGCCAAACGTCATTGGCTGATGGGGGTGTGGCCAAATGCTCTCTCGCAGCCCTTCCACCAATGACACCGGAGTGACCGTCCGCTCTCAGCCATCGTCCACTGCCTTTGACGCAAGCTCTCACAATAATACAGCACGAACTTGAATGGGAGTGATTCGGCTGCTGCGTGTGTATGGAACGTTGCCGTTCTAGGACAGTGACGGTATGGCCGAGTTGTGCTGTCTCATTACCCCATAATCACCCCATATATATAATTCGCTTCGTCTGTTTGTTTGTTTGTTTGTAAGTTTGTCTGTCCGGAAATTCGGTTCGACCTGAAGAACGACTTGGAGAGGTCGGGTCAAGGTGGGGATGGGTAGGGCATGGGACAAGAAATAAAAAGCACACTTTTGACCTATGGGGAAGCCCCGCCCACAGTGGGCGGGGCACTCGCCGAAAGTTTGGGGCTCCGCAGAAAAGTAATCATAATTCGCTTCGGAAGCAGCGTAAAGATGGGGAAAAAAGGGATAAGGTTAGTAAGGAGTCGCCAGACTAACTGTGGAAGACACGTCCAAAATGGGCGGGGCGTACTCATGGTGGGCGGTGCTTCTCGCAAAATTCAGTAACCCGGTTCGCGAGAGTGTTTGGAAGTCGCAAAAAAAACTCAGTTTAGAATGTAAATATCTGGGCGAATATAGGGCACGCTCAAAGTGTGTTGAGACCCGCCCACAGTGGGCGGAGCTTGCCCTTAATCGCCAGCGGTAATTTCAGTTTTTTCCAAAAAAAAAAAACAAAAAATTGTTTGTAGCTCGGTTCCAGACACCCAGACCGCCGAAAAGTGGTCTAAGGTCAGCAGAGGGTCCCCGGTGAAGATTGTGGGGCAAAAACATTGTGGGCGGAGCCTGCTGCGAGGTGGGCGGAGTCAGACAAAAGATCGGCAAAACGGTCCCAGAGCACTCCGAAGACCGGAAAAAAGTGGACTAAGGTCAGCAGAGGGTCGTCGGTGAAGATTGTGGGGCACAAAAATTGGGGGCGGAGCCAGCCCGAGGTGGGCGGAGTCAGACAAAAGATCGGCAAAACGGTCCCAGAGCACTCCGAAGACCGGAAAAAAAAAAAAAAAAAAAAAAAAAAAAAAAAAAAAAAAAAAAAAAAAAAAAAAAAAAAAAAAAAAAAAAAAAAAAAAAAAAAAAAAAAAAAAAAAAAAAAGAGGAAGAAGTCAGCAGAGGCGTCCTCGGTGAAGATTGTGGGGGCACGAAAAATTGGCGGGCGAGCCGCCGAGGAGTCAAACAAAAGATCGGCAAAACGGTCCCAGAGCATCCGAAGACCGGAAAAAAGTGGACTGAAGGTCAGCAGAGGTCGTCGGTGAAGATTGTGGGGCACAAAAATTGGGGGCGGAGCCAGCCCGAGGTGGGCGGAGTCAACAAAAGATCGCAAAACGGCGTCCAGAGCCACTCGCGCCAAGAACCGGAAAAAAAAGTGGATTTTAAGTCAGCAGAGGGTCACCTCGTGAAGATTGTTGGGCACGAAAATTCGGGGGCGCGAGCCAGCCGAGGGAGTCTAAACAAAAGATCGGCAAAACCGTCCCAGTGAGCAATTCCGAAGACCGGAAAAAAGTGGAGTAATGCTCAGAGAGCAGTCCTCGCGTGAAGCATTGGGGGCCACAAAATTGGGGCGAGCCAGCCGAAGGTGCGGAGTCAGAACTAAAAGATCGGCAAAACGCGTCCAGAGCATCGAAGATCGGAAAAAAAGTGCGAGTAAGGTCAGCATTAGCCGTCTGGTCGCGTGAAGATTGTTAGGGCCACAAACATTGTGGGCGGGGCCTGCTCCGAGGTGGGCGGAGTCAGACGAAGAATCTGTAAAGTAGCTCAAGTACTTCAGACACCGGAAAAAAGTGGAGTACAGAACAAAAGGCGGATATCAGTTGAGTGTAGAAATATGTGAAAGAAAATACGCGCGGCGAAGCCGCGCCCGCGGCGCGCCTTATCACGAAGGAGCGCCACGCCGGCGTTAGCCGCGAGCCGACTGGTATATATAATTCGCTTCTGTCTGTTTGTTTGTTTGTTTGTTTGTAAGTTTGTAAGTTTGTCTGTCCGGAAATTCGGTTCGACCTGAAGAACGACTTGGAGAGGTCCAGTCAAGGTGGGGATAGGTAGGGCATGGGACAAGAAATAAAAAGCACACTTGACCTATGGGAAGCCCGCCCACAGTGGGCGGGGCACTCGCCGAAAGTTTGGGGTTCCGCAGAAAAATGTTCATAATTCGCTTCCGGAGCAGCTTAAAAGATTGGGAAAAAAGGGACTATAGTAGTTAAAGGAGTCGCCAGACTAACTGTGGCAGGTACACCCTAAATGGGCGGGGCGTACTCAAGGTGGGCGGTGCTTCTCGCAAAATTCAGTAACCCGGTTCGCGAGTGTTTGGAAGTCGCAAAAAACTCAGTGTAGAATGTAAATATCCGGCGAATATAGGGCACGCTCAAAGTGTGTTGAGACCCGCCCACAGTGGGCGGAGCTTGCCCTAAATCGCAGGGTATTCATTTTAAAAGTTTGTAGCTCGGTTCCAGAACACTCCAGATACCGGAAAAAAGTGGATTAAGTTCAGCAGAGGGTCGTCGGTTAAGATTGTGGGGCAAAAAAATTGTGGGCGGAGCCTGCTCCGAGGTGGGCGGAGCCAGACAAAATTCTCTACGGTTCCAGAACACACCACACACCGGAAAAAAATGGATTAAGTCAGCAGAGGGTCGTCGGTGAGGATTGTGGGGCAAAAACATTGTGGGCGGAGCTGCTCCGAGGTGGCGGCCAGCCAGAAAAAAGGTCTGCTAAACGTTCCAGAGCACTCGGACGACCGGAAATAACAGATTCAGCCGTCAGCAGGGTCCGCCGATGAGAAACTTTGTGGTAGACGATATTTGGGCTGCGGCCAGCCGAGTTGGGCGGCCAGCCAGACAAAATTCCCTAAAACTGTTTCCCCAGAGCACTTCAAAGAGAAGAACAAAAAACGTGGATTTAAAGCGTCAGCTAGAGGGTCGCCGCGCTGAGGACTGAGCAAAAACGTTGTGGGCGGAGCCCAGAAAAAAGGTCTGTTAAACGGTTCCAGAGCACTCCGGAGCGGAAAAAGTGGATTACGATCAGCAGAGGGTCGCCGGTGAGGATTGTGGGGCACAAACATTGAGGCGGGCCTGCTCCGAGGTGGGCGGAGTCAGACGAAGAATCTGTAAAATAGCTCAAGAGTACTTCAGACACCGGAAAAATGGAGTACAGAACAAAAGGCGGATATCAGTTGAGTCTAGAAATATGTGAAAGAAAATACGCGCGGCGAAGCCGCGCCCGCCCGCCCTCAGCGGGCCGTATATCAGAAGGAGCGCGCCGGCGTCAGCCGGCGAGGCGACTGGTACATATACACGCTGTTTACAACTCTTCTTCAAACGACAATACTTCGTAAATAGATGCCACCGTTAAGCCCACACAAAAGCTCGCTACGGCCTACACGCCCCCTCCAGGCGCCAGGATACGACTACACTTCCACCACGGCAATGGCTGTGTAAATGACGTTGTCATTCAAATCATAAAAGGGGTAGAACTCATAAGACGTTAGTTAATTAAGCCGCTTGGAAGGCGCCACGAATCCATTGAAATCTACAGATGCATATGAGAGCTTTTTTCGCCTGTACAAAGACATGTAAGGGCCAATATTAATATTTAAAAAATTCTTCTTACGTGACCTCGAGCGACAGGTCCTTGCCCATTGGCGAATAAGCAACAGCTTAGCAGACCGGAGGCCGCGCGGTTAGGTAGCGCGTTTGACTGTGGTTGAAGGCAGTTGGCACGATAGATCTTCAAGAAGAGTAGGACTGATACCGCCTGGCAGGACAGGATTCCGCGACCCTAAGCGCCTTTCTGAGGGAGGCACCCTTAGAAGGGCAATATCGAGCTATAACACGACCCGAACGCCCACCACGCCCGCCCGCCCACGAATGGACGACCGTACCTGACGCTCGTATTGCTTTATTTGCAAAGTAAAATATGAAGCGAAGAGATTGGTATGAAGTGGCTGCGGTGCTGCATGGATATATGGGAACGTACATGCAGCCGTACCCACCGTAGCGGTTATTGGCAAGATGTCTACGGAAAACTCGTCCGAAATTGTCATTAAGGACGAAGGTTTTTCTTCGCAGGTTTTTGACCGTTTCACTTCGTTTTTTCGCCATTTTCCCCACTATATGGCGCCCTGCTAGCATTTTAGGCCAATTAACAAAATATCGTGCCAACTGCATTTAAGCGCGGGCTGGCAAAGCGGCAGCGCAGGAGGTGTCCCAAACTGCACCCAGGTAAAACCAATTTCCAGCCTCATTCCCGCAGACTTTTGTGTAGCTGCGAACGACCATGTCAGCACCTTCACCTCGCACATGGCAAAGACTAGGAGTTGAGCGCACAGTTCGCGTTCAAGTCAGGTTTGTCCATTCCCCCCCAGACGAAAGTGGCACTACTACTCTTTCGAAAAAAGTTCCGTAAAATTACGCTGGTGTTCGCAAAAGCCGATACTACAGATGGCACAGACAGAAACGAGTACTCGCCCTTGTAGTGCACCATCTCCGCCTGCCTCGCTAAACAATTCACCTGAATAAAATACCGTCCATCCGTCCATAGCACTGCTTTGTCGTTTGTCACAGCCACATAAGCATTCGAGCCAGTGAAACCAGTAAGGAATTTCACGCGAAAATCATGGTCAGCCAAATATTCGCTCTGAATCAAAAACTGGTAAATGAAATAGACAAAACTTGAAAGGAGAATGAAGAGAAAAAACTAAATGAGAATTGCCTGTAGCTGTACTGACCACTTCTGTCCTTTGACCTCACCCCCCGCGATCAAAGTTATTCATTTTAAATACTGAGTTACGTCAAAATATTCTCCAGTCTGGAGGCATCGGAATAGGTTCGCTCCTATTCCCGCCGAAAAGCAAAGGAATTGGCACGGAACTAACCGAACGAGCATGCGACGAGGCGACTCTCCCTGCTTGCTTGCGTTCTTTGACCGAAAAGGAAAACGGTGTTTAAGCTCATTCTAAGGAGTTGAAGAGACTTGGCAGGATAAACAGTGCCCCTCGTACGTTGGGGACCTTAGCGAAGACGTGAGGTCGGCTGTTTCCGAGGAGGGGCTCGCATGTGTCTTTAAGAACAATGTTTTCGGTAGCCGACGTTTCTCGGTTTTCCTCTTCCAGGGGCACTATACCTCGCTCTCGCCCCGTTAGACAGCACTTTTCTGGGGTGGGAATGGAGTTTTTTCCTTTGAAAGAGCAGAACTTTGGGAGAGTTGTAAACGTTGGGAGAATTTAGGAAGATGCCAGGTAGGGTAGGGAATGGGGAAGGGTGGTACCAGCGGGGTAACTGAATTGAAGTGAATTTTTGAGAGAGGTTTGCGTTTCCCGTCAAAGGCAGCGATCGCCCTGACGGCAATAGAAAAACAGCTTTGGACAAAGCAGAAATTGACATGGCATGCGCCCAGCTGTCGCGCGTCCCCTTGATCACTTTTGCCCCAAAAAAAATCAGGGTTTTCTGTTCAATAAGGAACGGTTGCGCAAGGGACGCAGCACGTCTTCATAGTCTCCCATTCGTTGGAGCCAATGCTGCAAGACCTCTGCCACAGTTTTCCTACTGATCAAAGCAAAACGATTCTTGTAATTCTCCTCTGAGTGTGTCGCGCTCAATTTTATTCAATGAAGTTTACTCCTCAATGGATTTGAAAACAATCAAAATTCGAGAAATATTATTCTTAGGATCATTATGGTCCAAAAAATATGAACATAGAACTCCCGATCATGGAGCGCCTAATTCGATGGTGTTCTAACAACGACATAGTCTTATTGGGAAAAAGTTTTGCCCGGGGCCCTTTTGCATATATAAGAAAAACTTTGTTTTTGTTCAGCACAAACACAAACCTGGTGAGCATCAGTGCTAGGCAGGAGGTACGCCTTGATAGGGGTTCCTTTGGTCACACTGAGGACCTGTGCTGAAGAGAATCGAGCTCGAAGCAAATCAGCCTTCGTGGACATTGCCTTGTAGAAGGGGTACCTACAAAACCTTCTAGAAGAACTCACTCGGCCGTGAAATGACCGTATCGAACATAATAAGAAAGGAATTCGCAGCTTAGAGAAAAGATCAACAGGTCAGCTTGGCCATTTGTAATGCGATTGCACCGACCTACGCGTCTTAGAAAGATAAGATTGAATCTTCCTTTGGAAATTGCAAAACGGTTCTCTGGAGGAGGTCAATGAGAGCCTTCTCCCGCATTGCTGTTTTACACGCTATCGCATGGATCGCGTGGAATCGTCCCTACATAAGTAAAGAGAGTACAAGTTAACAAGGCGATAGAGTACGGCCGGTAACGAGCGGCTGTCACAGTCAACAGGGCGTGGGATCTCCTTGTTGTTCACTGTCTTCGCATTTTTAAGGACCTCAGTCAACAACACTTCCATCCGTGCTCGCTTGTTCTTGCCTCTAAGAGAACCTGCGATCAGTTTTCAAAAAAAAGACTACTTGGCCCAAAATAGTGCTTGTGCTTGTTCCCTTCTTCGTGAAACACGTCAGAAGGGTTGTTGCACTGAACTAGTGTGATATGCATGCTCAGCGGGTCAAATTACTCTTGGGAACATACCTTTGGCCAAATCTGAGATTCTGCCCCTTTTTTAAAGATGTGGGACATTCGATGGATAAACAGCAACAGACTGGAGCGATCAACCATCGAAATGGAACTTCTTCCCCGTTGTCGGGAAGATGATGAAGACGGTGCCAATGAATCTGTTCGTTGTGGAGAAGTGTGACCGAAGACTTCATTCAGCTTCCCGACCAGTCATCTGTGGTAAGGCAGACCTGGCATCACACATGGCTCCAACTTATCCATGACTAAGCCCCACCTTTTGGAAGATGAGTTAAAATTTCGGATTCTGCTTGCCGTTCCTGGAGATTGTCTGTCCCTTTGAACATGAATACCACACCCGTTTTGCCCGAAAAGGATTCTGTCACAGCGCGTCTTCAATATAAAACAGTGGAAAAACTTTCATACTCCGTCCAGGGAACCGCTTCGCAAATTTGGAGACAGATTCGAATTTATCGCCTCAAGACGCGTGCAAAGGTGTTCAACACCTTGCAGATGGCCGGGCTGAGGCACTGACCTTGCTGCTTAGACAGAAAGAATCCGTTCCCGGTCATAGATCGATAAAAGCGGAATGAAGATTTTCTTCACTAATAGTTCGCGGTCAATTATTAGGTTGTCCGGAAAGTTCTCAGGGTCTTGTGTTACAATTTTTTGTACATTCATTGCTGATCAAAAACTCAATC